TTTATGCAGATAGATCCTATACATTTTTCACTAGATGTATTCCTTTCTACTTATGATTTTTGTTCATATCATAGTTTCTTTATAAAAATAATAAGTGTTTTGATTGAGGTCGATGTATAGATTTGTCAAACAAATTTTACACTGTCATTCAAACTATATAATTCAAACTATTCCTAAACTATGTAATTTCTAACAAATTATCTGTAGATTATTTTGGGTTTTCAGATAATAACTGCTAAGGATGACATAAAGTTCTCTTTCTTCACTACACTGGGTAGGGCTTACACTACAGTGATGAATTAGAAACTATAATAATAAGTATCCTTGTTTTGTTCTTGATTTTAAAGGGAATTTCCACTTTTTCCCATCAGGAATGAGCTTTCTCTATGAATATACTTTTCAGATTTGGGACACTTCCTTCCATACTAAATTTTCTAGTAGTTTTTATAGTCCTTGTGTATTACATTTTATCAAACACTTTTTTCTGTATGCGTTATTCTCGCTTGTTTATTTTAAAAAATATCTGTCAATATGGTGAATGATATTTAAAGATTTTCTTTTTTTTTGAGATTTTATTTATTTATTTGACAGAGAGAGAGAGACAGCGAGAGCAGGAACACAAGCAGGGGGAGCGGGAGGGGGAGAAGCAGGCTTCCTGCCGAGCAGGGAGCCCGATGTGGGGCTCAATCCCAGGACCCTGGATCATGACCTGAGCTGAAGGCAGATGCTTAATGACTGAGCCACCCAGGCGCCCCCGACATTTAAATATTTTCTAATGTAAAACCACCCTTGCATTTCTAGAATAATCCAGCCTGGTCATAATTTATAATCATTTTTATATAAATATAGATTTGATTTGCTAATATTTTCTTTAGGATATTTGAAGGTAACTTCATTTTATAGGTAGAATGGCCTGCAATTTTCTTTTCTCAAACTATCTTTCTTTAGTTTTGGTATCATGTTTACTGGACTCTTAGCATGAGCTGGGGAGAATCTTCCCCTTTTTCTTCTCTGGTAGAATTCTTGTAGCTATCTGAATCATCTGGGTTTAGGGTTCTTTTTTGGTGGGAATACTTCTAAACTCTGTTTCAGTTTCTTTATTAATTATAAGATATTTCAGGCTTTCTGTTTTGTTTGTTTTGTTTGAGCCAGTTTTATTTAATTAATGTTTTTGTTAATGAATTTTTAAAATTTTCAAATTTATTGTATGTGTTGATAATGAAAATTCTGTTCTCGTATTTTTCTTTTCTTCACAAGAAAGATTATGTCCCCATTTTTATTTGCATTACTTTTTATGCCTTCTCTCTCTCTCTCTTTTTTTCTTGGTAATTCTATCTAGAGGATTTTCTATTTTTGAGTCTTTTCAAAAACCAGTATTTCAGTTTGTGGCAATCTTTTGTCTGTTTCTGGTTACTTTTAAGATGTTCTTTTGTCTTACTGATCTAAACTTACACTGAAATGTGATTAGGTCTAGATTCACTTCTAAATTTATACTGCTTAGAAATTGCAGTACCTTTTCAATCCAAGGACTCGTGAATTTCTTCAGTTTTGGAAAACTAACAGCTTGAACTCTTTGAATATACCGTCTTCACCATTCCTTGAATTATCTTCTGGAATTCCTGTTAGACATATTTTTAGAGTCTTTTGATTTATTTTCCTTGCTTCCTAACCACTCTTTCATATTTTGTATCACTTTATCTTTTTTCTTATGTTCCTGTTGAGTTCTTCAGTAAAGTCTTTATTCTGTAGAGAATGAGTTGTTTCCATTGAGTTTTAAGAGTTAAATAATTTTTTTTCAGATCATTCTTTTTCATGTCTATCCGTTCTTGTTTTATTTCTTTGTTTCAGATTTCTTGTTTTGATCAACATTGATCTCATTTCTTCCTCTGAAGATTATAAATATTTTTGTTTTAAAGTCTTCTTTGGACACTGTTCTATTTTCTTTTCTTTCTTTTTTTTTTTTTTTGAGAGAATCCATGTACTGACTATCAATTTTGTTGTCTTTCATACCTTTTGGAGTTTATACTGTTCACTTCCCATGCATGGTGGTCTTTCCCTTCCACTCAGTATTGTACTTGGGTTGCCTCCACCCTGCATTTTCAAGGCTCCCAATCCAGAGCCAGGTCTTTCCTCTAGGATTCGTGTGCTGAGCCAAACAGCACATCCACTGTGCTAGCAGGAGGAGCTACTTTTCAATGCAGCTCTCCTTTTTACTGGGTTGGTAGTCCTTGGGAAGTATTTTGCTACATTGCACCTTTATGCTGCATTTATCTACTCCTGCCTCTCCAGGCATGAGCTCTACATGGGCCATAGTCACCATCAGCAGATTTTCTCACCCTGCTTTTCATGGTAGTAGAGCTTAGCCAAGGTTCAAGCAAGAAACTTGTCTCTGTCCTCTGTCTCAGATGAATAAGTGCATTTAAATTATATATTGCCACAGGATCCAAATCCCTAGCTACCTGTTTCTGCTTCTCCAGGTCTGGCAGATCTTTGGGTTCATTCTTGCTTATCTTCTTGCATTCCTTTTCCTTTTCTAATCTTGAAACTATGTGATTTCCAGTTCACCGCTTAAACCAGAAGTGTCTGGATCTGACCTATAACCAGGGTCAAGTTGGCTCCCCCTTCACACCATGACATTTAGTTTGGGTGTCCTGTATAATTATGCATTCATATTGCAAATGAGGTTATAGCCATGAGGCCACAGCTCTTCTTTAGAAATGGTGGTCCCTTCTGAGCCATGTTTTCAAGGATTCCCTTTCTCATAACCTATGATTCAGATGTTTAACATGAAAACAGCACATCCACTGTGCTAGCTGGAGGAGCTACTTTTCAATCTAGCTCTGCTTTTTCCTGGGTTGGCAGTCCTTGGGAAGTATTTTGCTACATTGCACCTTTATTTTCTAATCTGGAACTTTGTAGGAATGTTAGGAAAATTAAACAGCATGTTATCCATGAAAGCACTGTAAAAGTAGTAAAGATGGAAATGTGTAGCTATATGTCTCATGTATATTGAAAACATTAGAAATATATCCAACTCAAAATATCCATCTGTGTAGTTGAGTTTTATTTCAGGAAGCCATTTTTTGATATATTCTTTCAATTCAATATTTACTGAGCAGCTGCTATGTACCAGGCTCTGAGCTAGGTACAATTCGGTGATAGGGCCCGGTATGGTTAGATCTCCCACATGTTTTAATTTTTTTCTAATGGGGAGAGGTCTCATTTGTCTAAATATACAACTGTATTGTTAATAACAGGCAGAAACAGATTATGAGGAAAATGGGGAAGCTGAGACAGAGACTAAAAACTCTTAGTCACTTTGGCACATCTGCTCTTTACACTGGTGTTTTCTTGGTTCAAGTGATGACGTACTTAAATGACTGGGCCAAGTCAACAGATGAGATATTTTAAAATCTTTATTTTCACAAAAATTAGCTATCCGGCACAGCATGACTTTGTATTTCTGAATAGCGAGTGCAAAAATACAATCTCCGCTTCTCTCTGTATTTAGTTTTGACTGTCAATCTATGCTTATGCTCCTCTCCTGGATTCTAGTCTCTTGCAGGAGATAGACCCCTTTCAGAGAGAAGGAAGGGGTTAGATCCTTGCTAGTTCTCTTCACTGTGGGTCCTTAACCCTGACCTTCATAGGACCACAGTTGACACAGATAAAAGGAGCTGGGACTCAGATAGCCCAGCAATCTCGCAGCCATACTGACTCTCCTATAGTGCAGAAAGAACAAGAAATTAACTGAGCCAGGCATTTTATGGCTTTGATTTAGTGCTTGCATATTATATAGGTAACTGTAAGGACTGATGCTAAATGTTACTGTTATCAAGGCTTGGAAAATCCTGCCCAGTGATTGTTCAGCCCCCGAACTGAGGAACCAGCCATTCTTCCCTTAAGCAGTTGAGGACCTTCTTGTAATTTTATGATTTTCTTTTCCTTAAGCCTTCTTCTTCCAAATGTATTTTTCCCCCCTTTTCCTTTGTAGCCTGCATCTACCTTTCCCAGACTGCTTCTTACAAAGAAGTGCTTGTTTCCAACTAGGCTCCCTTTCCTTGGGATTAAGTGTCCATAGGCAAAGCTGAGCTGTGCCTGCCTGCTGGGCCGCCATGGGGATCTGAGTGGGCAGGGAAAGAGGCAGGGCAAAAGCCAGAGGGCGGGAGGGAGAGTGAGCTTCTACCTGTCCTTGACAGATGGCCTCTGCCTGGTTGCTTTGTTTCTCACCACCTCGGCCCCTTTGATGGGTGGGTTCATGCCTCATGAGCAGTCTTGACCGTGACAGCAACCACTTCATTGCCACCCGGGGCCACTGCTTGCATGTGCTGGGCAGCGGAGGAAGGAAGCAGTTAAGAAGTCAGGGTGTTTAGCAGTGTTCTAAGTTTAGCCCTCCAAGGAAGTCTTTCAGACAGTCTGGCTTCCCCTTTTTGCTGTGAAAAATACATAGGTGTGCAGCAATAAACACAGCTTTAATGCCCCAGGCTTACAGAATGATGCTATTTGTTGAACATTTACTAAGCTCTAGTCACTGTTCTGAACATTTTACATCTACTAACTCTCCTCATTCTCGGGACAATCCCAGGGTTTCGATTCTGTTATTGCTTTCATCTTACACATCGGGAGGGGGTGGGGAGAAGCCTGGAGTGTAAATCCTTCCCTCAACAGCTAGTAGATGGACACAAACCCAAACAATTGGGTTCTCTACTATTTAAAAAAGTATATAAATAAATAAATGTCATGGTTTCCATCGTCTGTTGTTTCTACTGAGACGAAGTCATTGTTTCAACTTGTTCGTGCTACTAGATTATTTCTTGAGAAAGTAGTATTCCCAGTATCGCCCTTTTGTGTAGAAAATAATCTTTCCAGTGAATGGGAGGGGTTGTTACTGCTAGAAAGAAAGGAAAAAAAATTAATGACAAATCTCATCACCTAGAAGTAAATTTCTATCTTCACTGGGGATTCCCAATTATTAACACTTTTTTTTTCTTTTTTATCAGCAAACCTTGAAGAAAAAATGGGTGGAGTTCAGATCGCTGCAGTTACAGGAACAGCGTCTGCTTCATGGTAAATGTGATTTCCTGTTTAGAAACCACAGTAACATTCATCTTTTTGGTATTTCTGCCTCTAAGTTGTTGTAAGATTATCATCAGTATAAGAAAAAATTGTCTAGCGTGGATCAAGAATACTAGTCTGTGTTTTTTTGGCATGACCTTTGGAGTGACCTATGTTTTCGGAGGGTGAGTAGGTCAAGTCATATCCCCTCCTTCATATATATAACACATATACACATGAAAACACGCACACACTCCCATGTGTGCACACACTTACAAGAGGCACCTGGAGATTTTAGAAGAGCAGTAGGAATGATAGATAGCTGATTTTCCTACCACTACAGTAGATGAATTCAATTTCTGAGAACATTTGTGGCTCAAGGGTTGTGTAGTTCTCAGAAATTATTGAGGCTGGAATAGGAGCATGCTTCTTGGGTAGAGATCCTATCATTTGTTCATATTATACAAGTTACGTGAATGCAGAGAAATGCCTCTTCATGGCCTGCAAACCTAAGACAGAAATACCAATGATCATTCTAACAGTAAATGCATGGCTCTTGCTGTTGTGTGAATTCTGAAGGGAATGGTTAAGTTTAAAATTTGTTGATTTGGGGGCACCTGGGTCGATCAGTCAGTTCAGTGTCCAACTCTTGCTCTTGGCTCAGATCTTGATCTCAGGTCTCAGGTCATGAGTTCGAGCCCCATGTCAGGTTCCATGCTGGGTATGGAGCCTGCTTAAAAAAATAAAATAAAAATTTGTTGATCTGACATTTGCTACATGACTGGTGTAGCCTGAGGAATGAACTTGTTTGTACAAATAATTCACTGAAGCCACTAGCTATGTGGGTGTGAAATGTAGTATACCTTCTTAACACTGAGCTAAAGTCTCTATTTATAACCTAGAATGTTTGTTTCAAGTAATAATTTATTTACAGGAGAAAAAGATACATTTAATTCATAATTAAGCACTAATGTATGACTTAGAGATTTGTGTTTATATTCTGTTTTTTTAAATGAAACTTCTATATAAGTTACTTCTCTTTTGTGTATTTTTAAATTAATATGCTAAAAAATTCTTAGTAGATTTTTGGGGGTTCTGAAGTTTCCCAGCCGGACAAAGGTATAAAATCCAGCCACTCCTGGATTTCTGTAGACTTGAGGGTGTTTGGGAAACCTTTTCCCCCATTTCTGGAACATTCTGGAGTTGGAGATGGGGTTTGGCCTAATATGTATAGGCAGTCCTGGGCTTCTATAGGCATAGCTTGTATAGACAAGGTCTTTAGTTCAAGATTAAGGGAAATGACTCTTCATTAAAGCCATTGTTGTACCCATTTTTTTTTTTTTGAGAGATTGAAGGAGTTCTGTAGTTTACTTTTCCTAGACGCAGAATAAATATACAGGGCATGAGATTCTCAATTGCTTTCCAATTCAAGAGAATTCATCAGCTCATTGCCAGATGAAATAAGTAGGTTTTATTAGTAAAAAGAAAAGCATTCTGACTAGTCAGTGCAGAGCTGGCCAAATTCAACCTTGCAGATTAAGTGGAAAATCTGTCTCTTTTTGTATTGCTAATCAAGGACAAAGGAGAGCAACAGTAGAGAAATAAGCAGCACAAAGTAAAACCGTTTCTGAGTGTGCAATCTTCTATTACTTTTCCTGAAGCAGAGTCACCTTCTAAACTGTCGTTCTCAGCCTGGTATAACAAATAATCCTCTTGCACCGAGTAGCATTCCAGCCAGCTCAGATAGAACACAAGCACGTGGGGTAGGGACCGGATGTTGGTGTGCGATTAAAATTTGAGTTTGGAGAGCCCAGATATAGGTTATGAAAGGTTAATGAAAAAATTCAGCCAAGCAGATAAAACTCAGCTTCCACAAATGAACTGTTATTTATTTGAGGACAGGGCTGTTTTCTGGGTATGGTACCATTCCAGAACATTTAAGTATTAAAGTATTCTAGGAAGAAGCATGGACTATTGAGGCTGGAAGATATCCTCTCTGTTTTAAACACCTTTGAATTCTCTATAATCAGCCTACGGGTGCAAGTTGTATAACTATGTTTCCCATACACTTCGAGTGATGTTTTAATAATTTTATAATTATTTAAAAATACAGTAACTGAAAATCAGAGGAACTTAATGGAGTAAGACGGCATTTTCTCAAGTATATTCTTTATTTTTTTCCCCAAGTATATACTTTAGAATGCCATTTCTGTGAGCACGTTAATAAAAGGTTGCAGGGTCACTTCTGTTTAAGAAATGATACCTTTGGAGATTGACAAGTCACACCGGCATACTCTCAGAGGAGTTGACTGTTCTTATGTGAAGAATCTATTTCCATTTATTTGATTTAGCATGACTATTTGTGACCGTGGAACAGTTTTACATGGAAGCCAGCCCATGAACAATAGTCTGGGAAACACCACTCTAAGGTTTTATCAAATGACCTCATAGAGAGTCACTTATTCATACGGGTGAAGCTCAGTGAAAAATATTCTTCACCTTTACTCTTTCTTTCCTGCACCGTTTAAAGAGAAATTTTGGTGTGTTTGCTTGTAGGGAGTGATGCTCATATCCATTCCACAGTGGACTTTGTTTTCTGCCTTCCAGGTGACACAGGTAATTGCCCAAGTTTGGAAAACATGGACATAGATGAGTCGGTTTTGTTTGGAACCCTGCCAGGGCCAGGGCCCGCCCTCCTGGACCGGAATCGCCTATCCAGTGAGAGCAGCTGTCTGAGCTCCATGACGATGGACAGCGAAGATGGCTACCAGACATGTGTGTCTGAGGACTCCAGCAGGGGAGGCTTCAGTCGACAGACGAGCACAGACGATGAGTGCTTTGTCCCCAAGGATGGGGACGATTTCCTGAAGAGGTCTTCTTCGAGGAGGAACCGGAGTGTTAGCACGGCCAGCAGTGGGTCCATGTCCCCCTTGTGGGAGGGCAACTTCTCAAACATGTTTGGGACCCTGCCCCGGAAAAGCAGAAGGGGCAGTGTCCGGAAACAGCTCTTAAAATTCATCCCTGGCCTTCACCGTGCAGTGGAAGAGGAAGAGAGTCGCTTTTGATGGGTTGTCCTGACCTTTCTTATTTCGTAAATATCTCTGGACTTGTTTAGACTAACTCCACCCAGCCTGGTGGGAAATTGCAGATGGATTGCAAAACTGAAACTCCATACCATGACGATAGATAGTGACCTTTATTTAAATTTTTGTATCATAAGGTTTGCTTCTTAAATCATTTTTTGTAACCAGAAAAGCGCAGGTGATAAACAGAAAGTAGGGGAACTAGGTAATAAGTTGGATAAGATGACAAATTAAGCACATTCCTGCTCATCCTAATGCTGCCTGGGAAGACAAGGGTAATATTTATTTTCTAGATTGTGTGAAAAATTGAGAACTTTTCAGTCAAGTGTAAATAAAAGAGTGATGGAATATAATTATTTGGGATACCTTCCATAGGTTCATTGGTAGGTCATAAAACTTTGCTTAAGATCAGTAGCCTCCAGGGAGGCTTAATAATAGGTCATTTTGAATGTTTCTGTTTACATCTGTGAAGGATTATAAACAAAGAGGATCATCAGCTATTTTTCACATCCACAGCAACAATAAAGCAGGAAGTATGAGATACAATAAAGCAGGAAGTGTAAGATTCAATATGAGGGTTTGGGATCCATGGGAACATGTTGTCTAAGATGGGTGCTGAGCAAGATTATAAGGGCTTTTTAATAGACAGCCTAAACAGAATGGGAGAGAATGTCATTCTTACTCAATTCAATTTTTGTTCTGCCTAAACATTGATGGCAAGTCTAGAATTCTCAAGATCCTGCATACAGCTTTGTAAATTTTTTTTTGGAGCAGATGTCTGAAATTTGAAAAATTAGAGCCAGGAAAAGGATTTTCCTCCTGTAGATTTTTTCACATTACTCCTCACTTTCTGTTATATATTCCCAACAGTTACTGCCTCAGCACTCTTGCCTGTTGGTTATGTTGGTATCACATTACTTCTAGCCTTTCAATCACATTTTTATTCAGTACCCATTCAAGTCCATGATTTCCCTGTTCTGGTGATACAGCTGCTCATGACCTATATTCTAGAGTAGATAATGCAGACAATGTGATAAATAGTCCTTATTGATTTAAAGCTCTGTGTGTGTGTGTGTGTGTGTGTGTATGTGTGTGTTTGGGAGAAATAAAGACATTTGATAGGTGACTTTGAGTGTAACCACATTTAAATAAATTGAGTAAAGAATGAGTCATTTTGAGAAAAGAAAGGGGGAGTAAGGAAACTTGTAGGGTAAGAAATGAATATTAAAATAAAATATAAAAGATTGCTAATTGGAACCTGCTTTCTATTAATTATTTCAACTCCAAATCATCCAGTGGGCTCTGCTTTGGAATCATTCATATGAAAAGCAGGATGAGGTGTTTTGAAGGAACAATAACAATGCTGTCTACCATTTACTGAATACCTAGCAGGTTAAAGATGCTTTCCATGTGATCCTGAAACAACCCTGTTAGATGGGTGTTAGCCATACATAAGGAGCAGGAGTTCGGAGAAGTTCCCATGGCCAGCGGCAGGGCTGAAATTGGAAACCAGTTCTTTCTAACTCTGGCCTAGTCTCAGTCTCTCTAGATATTGTTTACTCTTTTGCTGGTTCTGTGTGGTCATCCCTACAGGACTTCCTCCCACCCCACATCCCCCACCCCTCATGGAATACTTAAAACACACAATTGTAGATCCTGCATGGATAAAAATTGTCTTTGGTTAATAAGAGAAAAAACGGACATTTAGAATGACTCTTTCTCTTGGCCCCCACAAGCAAGTTTTCAAATATAGGCACATTAATAACTGCACGATTAACAATACATTTATTTTCAACAAAGGCTTGCAAGTCCAAGTTGTGATTGGACTGACACTGCTTATTTCCCATCTTAGACTAGAATTATCATGTTAAAGATCTGCTTCCACGAAAGCAACGTATCTTGTTAATCCCATCTTGCCAAATCCAGGGGAAAGAAATAATCACATTTATTTGAGGAAAGATGACTTTAAATTCTTCTACAACATGATCAGGGTTTCGAGAACTTCCACAAGTCGTCTGGGAAAGCAGATTATAGGTCATTTGCTTTTCTCATGGCTCGAAGTGTTAAATATAGTGTAATTCTTCCTCCTTACAGTAAATATCAAACCCAAAAAGGTACAGGGAAGGGAGAAAGCAAGTTCCACTGTAGTCTGAGGTAAGAAGCATTAGAGTCAAGAGTTTGAGATGTTCTGGAAAAAAAGAAAAGCAGTTTTTAACCAAAGTACAGGAAGGAAGGGTATGTCATGTTTTGTGTGTTCACAAGTTGTAAGAAAACTAGTTACTGTTTAGTGGAAATGTAGGTAAATTTCTCACAGCACAGCTTTTCAGACTATCTGACCTCAGTGGGAGTTGAGAAGATTTCATTTCTCTAATCTTCTGGGGCACAATGACTCACTTTGATGTAACTTACTGGGAAATGAATTGAAAAGTGAAGTGTTTTGTTTTTTGCTTACCCCCAACTTGTCAAATATGTGATATTGGTGGATTTCATTAATTGACAATTGGTTATGAAATTGCACTTTTGTAGCATGGCATTGATAAACCAAATTCGAATCAAGCGTATTGAGAATTACTCTGTCCTGTGGCTAAAGGAACACCACCCACCATATCCAACAGGTTGGTACTCTACTTTTTGAAATGATCTTTTATTCGTCCCTTTCTGCTTTGCACTACTTTTATAGCTTAGTTGCATGTACAAACAGTATTAAAAATCCTAGTTTGAACTGAAGAAATCAAACTTGGGTAGAGTTTGTGTGTACTGATCATATAGTATAAGTATTTATGGATTTATATAATCTAAGTATAGTCAATACGTAACTATATTGAACCCTTCAGATCACAAGATTATTGGTACTTTATATCCATTTCTTTACAGAAATATGGGCAATAAAAAAGTTGGTACCTTTCTGAAATAAAGAATGCTCTTTTTCAGTGTCAGATCTCTCTTGTCTCCCTTTCTCTCCCTCTGCCCCATCTCTCTGTCTCTCAGTCTCTATCTCTTTACCTACTTACCTTAAATGAAATGATTGTTTTCAAGGCAGTTTTTTTTTTTTTAAATCTGGGGTGATGTCTTGATACCTACTCTTTGAGGTTTTTTCTTTAATTTTTTACAATTTAATTTAATTTTATTATGTTAGTCAAAAAGGCATGGCCTACTTAATTGAGGCTTTGTACTTGTATTAGCTTTCTGATGCTTAACAAATTACTACATACTTAGAGGTTTAAAACACATTTATTTCCTCAAAGTTTCTGTGGGTGAAGTGTCTGGGCAAATCTTAGCTGGGTCTGCTCAGGGACTCCTGAGGCTGCAGTCAAGGCGTCACCCAGCGTTGAGCTCTCCCCTGGAGGCTTGCCTGGGGAACGATACACTACCAAGCTCCCTCAAGTTGTGATCAGAATCATTTCCGTGTGCCATAGGATTCGTGGCAGCTTCCTTAGTAAAAACCAGTAATGGAAAGAGAGAGACTGCACGCGAGACAGTCTTAATGCAATGTAACCACAGGAGTGACATCTTTTCAACTTTGCCACATAGCGGAACATAATGACACAAGTAAGAGCCTACCAACTATGCCATGTTCCGTTTGTTAGACACAAATCATAAGATCCATCCACACCCAAGGAGCAGGGATTATGCAAGGCATGAACATGAGGAGGCAGGGATCAAGGAGGTCCCTTAGGATCTGTTCACAACATCATTCAAGGAATTCACAAACTTGATAATATATTGAGTCTTTTCTAAACTCCTTTGAACAAATATAAATGGTGGATGTTATAATTTTTAATAGAGAAGTAGTAAGATCTCTGAAATTAAAGAACCTGGCCAAGATTGTATAACTAGCCAAAATGCTGAGTAGGAAACTGAATCCAGGTCTCCTGACTTTGTCTCTCAAGTGCATGAAATGATAGGAAATTTTAAAAGAATATTAAAGTGTGAGCTAGTTACTTGCCTTAAAATTCTCCTCAGGGAATTTGAGTGTATTTAAGTGAATTAGTGATTGGCATGATGAAATTTATCACTTCTATATGGGTACATCTTTATGAGCACAGGACAGGAATTCCACAGAAAAACAAAATAAAATTCTCATAATCAAAACTACAAAGCACAAAAGGAAATGATCAGCCATGAGGAAAAGTCAGGAGGTAGCACAAATACCAGAATTATCAGAATCAGAGAAAATAAAGCAGTTTGAAAGAATATAGATATGTATTTCTTAGGAATAGAGGATAAATAAAGAACATATGCAAAGAACATGTGCAACTCAATAAAGAACATATGCAAATATCATAATGGTGAGAAACAGGCTCCTTTCCCCCCAAGATCAAGTACAAACCCAGGATATCCTCTCGCTACTTTTATTTACCATTGTGCTGAAAGTTTTAGCCAGTGTACTAAGACAAGGAAAGGAAACAAAAGTTATACAAAGTGAGAAGGAAGAAATGAAACTGTTTTTGTTTGCTGATGACACGATTGTCCATCTGGAAAATCATGAAGAATCAGCAACAAAAAAAATCCTGAAAGTAATAAGTGAGGACGGCAAGGTCACAGAATATAAATTACTACACAAGCAATGAACAACTGGGATTTGAAATTAAACAAACAGTAACTTTACAATAGTACCCCCAAAATGAAACGCTTGAATATAATCCTGACAAAATATGTACAGTATCTATATGTGAAAAACCCCAAAACTTTGTCCAAGAAAATCTAAATAAATCAAGAGATATTCTGTGTTCATGGTTTGGAGGACTTAAGAGTGTTAAGGTGCGACCTCTTCTTAACTTAATCTATGTAGTGAATCCCAACCAAGGTTCCGGTAAACTATTTCATAGACCTTGACGAGCTGATTCTAAAGTTTATATGGAAAAGCAAAAGATCTAGAAGAGCTAAAGTGAGGAAGAAGAAGGAGAATGAGGAGGAGGAGGAAAAAGAGGAGGAGAAAGTTGGAGGAATCACAATATTCAATTTCTAGACCTTCTATAAATCTACCATAATTAAGACAGCATGGTATTGGCAAAATACAGCATATAGATCAACAGAACAGAATAGAGTGTCCAGAAATCAACCCATACAAATATAGCCACTGACCTTTGACAAAGGAGTAAAGGAAGTCAAGTGGAGAAAGGACAGAGTTTTCAACAAATGGTTCTGGAACAGTTGGACATCCATAGGCAAGACCTTACACATCTCACACATTATAGACCTACATATAAAACATAAAAGTATAAAACTTCTGGAAGATAACATAAGAGGAATCAAAATCAGTTTGGTTATTGAATATTGGGTTTGGTGATGAATTTTTAGGTATAATAAAAGGATGATTTATGAAAGAAAAGGTTGATATATTGTACTTTATTAAAATTAAAAAAAATCTGCTTTAGGAAAGATACTGTAAAGAAAATTAAAAGGCATAGATTGAGAGAAAATATTTGCAAAAAGCATATTTGAAAAAGGGCTTGTGTGCAAAATATAAAAAGAACTTTTAAAGGTCAAAAATAAGAACACAAGCAATGTAAGTAAAACATGTTCAAAACATCTGAACAGACACATCTCCAAAGATAATACATAGATGGCAAATAAGTACATTGAAAGAATGCAGTATCATTTGTCATTTGGGATTTGCAAATTAAAACAACAATGAGATACCACTATATGGCTGTTAGGATGACTGAAATCCCAAATACTGACAATGCCAATTCATAGCAAGGATGTGGAGCAACAGAAATGCTTTTGCATTGCTGGGAGGAATGCAAAATAGTACAGCCACTTTGGAAGAGAGTTTGGCATCTTTTTTTTTTTTTTTTACAAAGTTAAAGATAGCTTTACCATACGGTTCAGCAATTGTGCTCCTAGGTATTACCCCAACTGACTGAAAACATATATCCGCACAAAAATCCCCACACAGATGTTTGTAGCAGCTTTATTCATAATCACCAAAAATTGGAGGCAACTGACATGTCCTTCAATAGGTTAATGGATAAACTGTGGTATATCCATACAATGGAATATGATTCAGGTCTAAAAAAAATGAGCTATCAAGACAGGAAAAGACATGATGAATCTTAAACGCATGTTGCTAAATTAAAGAAGCTATTTGGAAAGGGTTATTATTATATGATTCCATTTACATGACATTCTGAAAGAGGCAATACTATAGCAATAGTAAATAAATCAGTGGTTTCTGGGGATCTGGGGGTAAGATGGAATGATGTATGTTTGGAGAAAGTTGAGTAGATGGAGCCCTGGTGAGTTTTATAGAGTTGTCTAAGTTTACTTGGTCTACTGAAATAAAATACTGCAGACTGAGTGGCTTAAACAATAGAAATTTATTTTTTCACAGTTTTGGAGGCCAACTGCCCAGCAGCAGAGCTGGCGGCGGGGGAGGCGGCGGAATGGACATTCGAGGACAAAGCAGCCATCTGCAAGCCAGGAAGAGAACTCTCTCCAGAAACCAAACCCTGTGGAACCTTAATCTTGGACTGGATCTGGAATCATTATCCGGAACTGTAAGAAAACTATTGTTTAAGCCCGGATTGAATGCAGAATGGGACAAGACACTCTCCATGTATTATTAATATATGAAACAGCCTACTTAAGAAAAATAGAAGGACTTTGGAAATGATTAGAGTCTGTAACTCAAAGGCAAAAGAAACCATACATAAACATTGTAGTCCATTTGAGAAAATTGCTTCCCACAGGGGTAGCTGTTAATCATTCTGATACTGCTGTACATATATACTGGAACTGAACTATTAATAAATGACTGACTAATGATGGGAGACAGGGTTTTTTTCTGTTGGAGTGGTAGTTTACAGGTAATTAAGGGAACAGGCTAGGATGATCCATATGGAAATGGGTTAGAGATAGAGACATCAATATGCACTCAATATTAGCTTAATATAGATACAGATGGTTACATAGAAAAATATTTATAAATATATACAAGGTTTAATATACATACACATATTAATTTGTTGACAGCAGAAAAGACATAGAAGGAATGAGCAAACTTAATACCAAGATATTGATTTCTAATACCATTTCCAGTAAAAAAAACAAGATTCCTTGGGTAAATGATTGATTCCAGGACTGTGGCAGGAAATGTACAAGAACCTGGGTTATTTTGCAGTGCCAGAATTTAAAGAAGTATTTAAAATATAAAACAAAACCTCACAATAAGGGGGATATATCAAAGGGAGACAGAAGTCAATTGAATGAGACTACAATCAATGGCCAAATATGGAAGTTTGAGCAACAAATTAAGTAAAAAACTATTAGACTATAGTCAAAGATATAAAATAAATATCCATGGATGGTTCCATATTGATATAAAAAGACGAATATTTATTATATTTATTTATTATATAATATTTATTATAAAATAAATACTAAATGGAGTGAGGAGACAAATCTGTGCAGAAGAATTCCAAGTAACTTATGTAAGATATTCCACTCTCAAGGAGGTGGAGCAAAATATCTCATTCCTTAAACATGGTTACTTCCTTCTTCCCATATATTGCATTATTTGTTTCAGAAGTACGGATCCGTGATTCATCAGTCTTGTACAATTCACAGTGCTCACCATAGCACATACCCCTAAGTCGGAGGGGAAGACGAACCATTAGAGACGATGGACTCTGAAAAACAAACTGAGGGTTCTGGGGGGGGTGGGGGGATGGGTTAGCCTGGTGATGGGTATTAAAGAGGGCACATTCTGCGTGGAGCACTGGGTATTATGCACAAACAATGAATCATGGAACACTACATCAAAAACAAATGATGTAATGTATGGTGATTAACATAACAATAAAAAATTATTAAAAACAAAAACCAAAAAACAAAAAAAACCATAGTTACTTCCTTCCAAAGAGTACTGCATGGAAAGGGGAGAAAAAAAGTAACTCTACAGCAGAGATACCTGACAAACACTATTCAGTCAGGTGATCAAGATCAATATCAATAGTGTCAGGTCATATTGAAATTAAGTATGCTTATATGATGTAGCAAGAAGAGCCACATATTTGTGGTCTTCCTCCTCAAACCCATAGCTAATAATGAGAAAAACATCAGACAAATCCTAGTTAGGAGACATTTTACAAAATACCAACTGGTACTTCTCAACATGGTCAAGGTCCTTAAAAACAACTAAAGTCTGAGAAGCTGTCATAGCCAAGAGAAGCCAAAGTGGCCAGGATGACTAAATGTAATGTGATATCTCGGATGGCACCCTGGAACAAGGAAAGGACACTAAGTAAAAAGACATTCTGAATAGAATAGTTAGTAAGAATGTATCCATATTGATTCATTAATTGTAGCAAATGTACTGTGATGACAGTAATGGGGGAAACTGGATGCAGGGTATATGGGAACTCTGAACTATCTCCAGAATTTCTCTATAAATCAAAAGTTGTTCAAAAAATGAAGTTTATTAAAAATAAGTACATGGGAGGCGGTGGCACCTGGGTGACTCAGGTGGCTGAGCTTCTGACTCTTGGTTTCAGCTCAGGTTTTGATCTCAGGGCTGTGGGAATGAGCCCTGCCTCAGGCTTGATGCTGAGTGGGGAGTCTGCTCAAGATCTCTCTGCCCCTCCCCCTGCTCACCTGCGTGCATCTGCTCTTTCTCTCTCTAAAATAAATAATCTTTAAAAAAAAGTACATGGACATTGATTAAAGAGAATAAAAAGAAGGAATAGAAACCAGAGTGGAATTTTTAAAATATCAAGGTTAACTGGGAAGATTTAAGTAAATATAAACACATTTTTATTCTGAAAACACTGTCATTGAAATTAAGTCCTCTAGATGGGAGGGGCAGCACATCCAACTTAGATACAAGGAATCTGTGAACTAAAAGATCTAGGACATTACCTTGATGTAGAGAGAGAAAGAAAAAAAGAGCAAACCTTAAAAACAGGTTACAGATGGGGGGAGATAATGAAAACATTAAACATCGAATGAAACAGAAAATGAGAGAGATGCTATATTTGAAATGCTGATGAATGAGAATTTAACAGAATCCATTAAAAAAACAAACTTTGAATTATGAGAGTTGAGAAAGACTATATTATGGTGAACAGGGTAAATAAAATAAACCCACACTCACACATTATGGTGGAAGCACTGAGCACTTAAGTCAATGAGAAAATCTTAAAAGCAACTAAAGAGAAAAGACAGATTACAAGGAACAATAATGACGCTGGCAGAATCAAGTTTCTAAATACACACCAGTGAGGACACCCACCACTAACTGAATCCTCCGTGATAAAGAATGCCACTTTGTGATATCTTTTGTCAGACTGTCTGCTAGCCTTTTATAGGTACACAACTTAATTCACCTTTGGTGACATGTGCAATTTTCCTTCTTACAATTCTATAGCCACTAGCTGAAGAAGCTATTTATTAAAGGGGCAAGAATTTTGATTAGCAAAAGTGCTTATGTTCAATTTTCATTTGTTTCTTCAGTCACTCAACAAGTCAATGAACGATTGCCCAATTTTAATTAGTGGGAACTGTGTTAGAAACTCAAAACAAATAAAAGTCCCTCACTTCAATACTTAGAGTTCTGTCAGGAGACACATATTAGAGTATGATAAATTCTAAAATAAAGAAGATACCTAATATATTTTAAGAGCCTATTCAAGGGCCACCTAATTCAGTGTGAAGTTAGAAATGTGATCATTTTTGTACATGAACCCTTCAGGGAAGGAGTGCAAAGAACTTCACTTAAGCTACAACATCAAGTCAGATGTATGAGGGAAATTACAAATTTGTTCATCCAAGCAAATAATCTGGATTTGAAGTAAGCTTTACCTTTACTTTACAATAGTGTCAATTTAGTGATTATAACCTGAGAGCATTCTGGGCAGATTACAAATTCATTACAAATTCATTACTGATGTCCACGCTCAAAATGATGGAACGTACAAGATACCGCCTGGTACCCACTTCCCTTCTCCATTGTTGTTTGAAGACAGTATCTTCCATTCTTGCCACAACTGTTTATAACCCGAATCTCCAAATGCGAATGAACCCATAGTGCCAGCAAGGAAATGAGAAGAACAATATTTACACTGTTTGGAGAGCAGAAATTTTCTAATTGCCTTTTCCTCAAATGTCCAGAATTGAGTAAGAGTATCTTTCAACCTCATCACTACCTCAACTAAAGAGTGGAGAATGATAAACTAATTGACTAGACAATGCAGTTTAATACTATAAAATTACATAATTATGCTTAATTATCATAACTATCATTCTTGACCATCAATAAATGATGTCTAGGCAAATTTTTAGTGTTTTTATTAAATAAATAGGTAAAACACAGAAGAGGATAATGGGTAGGAGTCTGCTCCTAACTAGCTTGAAGACACAGTTGTCATTTCCTCACCACAGTGTGTGACTCTTTTATTTTAGTTTTAAAACTATAGACAGAGCCACTGATTAAAAACAGGATGTGGGTGAGTAGTCATGCATAAGACTTGTTGGACTAGACATGAGCTAAGACAGTGGTTCTAAAAGAACAGTCTTCAGACAAGTGCTGGCTTATTGCAAAAGAACCACCTGGGAAACTTGTAAAATGCACATTCCCAGGCATCCGATCCCAGAAATTCCACCAAATAGGCCTGGGTGGCATCCAGGAATCTTTTTAAACAAGCTCCCCAACAGAATCATACACAGGTGGCCAAGGAACCATGCTATGAGAAACACTGCTCTAGAAACTCATTATTCTCTGCCAGCTCTGTTATTGGTAAAGGGTTGGAATTGAGTGAAAAAGGAAGAAAAAAGTATAGGAAAAATTATGAAAAATGTCAAAAATTAAGTGTCTTTAGAAGAAAGCTACCCCCTAGTAATTTCCTATTAGATTTCCCATCGTGGTTGTGTGAAATCTTTACTCTTTCCAACCTCAATTTCTCCCTCAATTTTCAACAAGGGGTGATTCTGACTCCTACTTCACTGAAATGGAAGGCATCTGAAAGGAATGCCCTCAATTCTTTTACCCCTAATGATTTCTGTCTCCTTTTCCCTCTGCCCATGCTTCTGAAAAAAGATACTGACTGATGTGAATCCATGTTTTCCCCACATCTCACATCTTTTTTACTTATCCACAGATTCCTTCCATCAGGCCTATAAATGTTTGCCATTTTTCTTTGTTTGAATTTAACCAGTTGGGCCTGCTTTATCAGCATAGAGTAAAAAGAAGGTCGTATATCTTCAACATTGAGATTAATTTTGTGAGCCTCTGATTTGCTTAACTTAGCATGAGGAAACTATCATTCATGGATCCTATTCCATCTTCCTTACGAAATTCCATGAGAATGTTGGACCCTTAGTTGGTTGTGCTTCCAAACTTCCTGAAAAGAGAAATGGAGAATGTGAAAAGTTAGTAGGCAGCCCAGGTTCCGTTACTGTTGCTTCTGTTGGTGTCACAAAATGTCATTACTGACATCCTGCCTTCCAGAGCTCAAGGCACTGATATTGTTCCTGGTCCCAAGGCTTTAATATCTTGGGATTTTTTGGAAAGAGGCCAGTCCAGGTCATCTGGTGTTTAATTCAGCCAGGAGAATGTGAGCTCCCAAGATGACCGTTCTTTTAAGCTTTAATTTGCATGCTTAGTCTTTTCTCTTCAAGACCCCTTTCATAGTGGGTTGGTGAAATTGGAAGGAGTTATGGTCTAATTTTCATACTGGAGCAACCCTCTTTGCATGTCTAGCCGGGTTCTGGTATTGAGCAAAGACCATCTGTTGAGACTACTCCTTACCTTGTGTGAAATCTCCTTTGCA